AAAATTTTATATAAACACATAGAGAGCCAGACCGATAAACGAATGGGAAGGAAATATCTATCATTCTATCCAGAGAGCATTTCTCCAATTGTTTACAAGCTCCATTTTTGATTCCATATTTTCAATTATTCATTCATACTTCATATTCAAAAATCTCTTGAAATATGAAAAGGAAAATATGGTTACATAACAGCATTCTCTATGAGAAAATACATAAGTGAACCTTGAGACTTGAAGCAATGAATCATGTTAATATGAAGTTCACAAATATGCCTTTTCAACCTTGGAAATAATCTCTTGTATACATGCTAACCAAAAAGAGAATAATGAATTTACCTTATTACATATATACTTCCTGGGAAGGGGTTAGCTTGTTAAATGACCTATAACCTGGCAACTTCTCTATATATTATTATGATTAGTTTATAGCTCCAGGATGCTTGTTAAGCTAATAAAGTTCCTACAACATTTTTAAAAATGAGGGAGAACTATTTACCTGCAGATTAATGAGAGAAACTTAATAAAGATTTCTTTCCCTTGTCCAAAAAAATTAAAGAAGTTATTTTTCCTTAAATGCCATTCCAATGAAAAGTACCCTCTTAATTTTGGGGGAAATTATTTCTTGGCCTTTAATAAGCACTCAGTAAATACTTACTGATAGCCAACCGAAGAGAATTTAAAGAAAACTGTTCACTAGGAGTAAAGCTGAATTTTATGTCAAAAATGCAGCCTGTAGGAAAAATGATCACACTAGGCTTTGCTGCAGAGCAAGAGAGAGAGAAAAAGAGAGATGAGAGGCTGGGCTCAATTATACAGGTAGGCAAAACAGCATGTCTATTCATTCAAACCTCCCTCGCATAACTCTGCACTTGCTCACAGCAAGTGCTGTGAGCAGCAGGGATAGATTTCAGCTTACTGTTTATAAAAGGATCCTATAAAAGGAATCTTTGTTCTATAATTAACAGATTGCTAGATACTACAGAAACTTTACATTTGGAGTACATGCTGTCTTGCTACTCACCTATCTTAACATCCTTCTTCTGCAACTATCAGTTCACTTAAAGTTGTTGATCACCGTATACCCTGGAAATTGGCTAGAAACAACACATTCTCACAAAAAATTTTAAAAGACTTGAGAAAGTATAATATCTATGAATATGACATCAGAAAAAAGAGAGCCTTTGTTGTATCTAATGATCCTTCCTAAAATAACTGGGAAGTTGGAGTAGAGACGTGGCTTTTGATTATATTTATACAATCATTCCTTCTTTTTAAAAGCATCAGTAATGAATAAACTTTTAGCATCAGAAATGTTTACTTAACAACTAAAGTAAACACTGGCTACATTCTTAGTACAATACAATCTTCAACACAACTATAAACATGTATACACTTCAAATATTGGCAAATTGCTTCAAAATGCAATTCTCAGCAAGTTTTTGGTAATTTATTCACAGTTCTGGATTAGAGTCACTGGACTTACAAGACATGAGGAAGAAATGACCAATTGGCTCAGTAAACTAAACATTCATTTTAAAGAACAGAAAACAAACAAAGCAAGGATGATTCTAAAATTTCCAGTTCACAAGAAATATAATTTAAACAAATACCAAAAGTTTTATTTAAGCAAAAAAAAAATTCAACTGTAGAACATTTAAAAAGCTAACAGGATCATTTCTATATTCATTCTGAAAACTAGTAAGAAAAGTAATTCAAGAATTCCCTAAAATGTTCTCATTAGTCATTATTTATGGTATATTCCATAACATTGATATCAAGCTATTACAGCCTTAAAAGTTAATATGGTATAACTTTACAGTCTTGCTAGTTAATTATGATTTTTATTTTAATCCTGGATATTATTGGTTCAAAGCTAATGTTATCCAGTCCTATGGGTTGTCATGTCAGAGATCTGAAGATATGGTTAAATTCATCAAGCTAGGGAAATACTGATGTATTAACAATCTTTAAGTATTGTAGAGAAAAAAACTGATTTAAGTGTTACCACTTCTAAACTTGAGACTCTAACACTAAAAACAAAGCAAGCAATCTGAAATATGTTTTCATGGGTAAAACACTCTATCTGGAATTCTGGTATACAAAATCTACTAATACGTGGATATAAGACTAAAATATCTTTACCATTCCCTTCAATTTCTTTGGCCTTCACAAATTCAATGCGAGCTATGAATTTTTTTCAATAAATACTTTTCAATGACATTGTGCTTTTTAGAAAAATCACTAAGTTATAGCACACAATAAATAGTTGACATTAGTCTTTCCCTTTTATTGCTATAGTATATCCTAATTTTTAAAAAAGATATGAGAAAAAACTCGCCCCAAAGGACTTCTTAAAATGTATGTTAAAGCAAACATTTCAGCTGATTTTCCTTCTTTGACGAGTTAATAGAAATAAGCGTCAAAGGAATATCACCAAGGAGCTAAAAAAAGGCTCCTTTCCTCCTGTCCTCAAAATTAACTCAGGCCAAGAGACCTGTATTTAAAAGGATAAGACAATACCATCTCAGCAACAACTTTCCAAGAAAGCTAAGAGAGAAAATCTGTATCAGCTCTCTTAACCAACAACCCATCTGCACATCACCCTGTGTCAGTTCCCTCTGAGGAGTACTGACGCTTGACTGTTTCTCACCTTTGCATTTAATGACTGCTCTTCCTTAGAGGACCACAGATATATGGATGTATAGCCTGTGATAACAGCTTACTCTACAAAATGAATTTCACCTCTTATAAACATGTTAGACCATTACTTAAGTGAACAAGTCCACTCACAATATTTAACCACTCAGCTGAACTCCATTTTCCACTCTCTCACTCTATGCCTTCCAATGATCCTAGTCTTCACTAGTGCTGAGTCCACCTGGGCACAAGTACACTTTGCTGTAAACGAGATGTATTTTTCAGTTCCTCGCACAGTTACTTGCCCATAACTGGTTGTTGACATAGTTATAACAAACTAAAAACAGTTAACATTAGTTCTCCTCCTATCATTTATTCCTATGGCACAGGTGATTAAAAAAAGATAGAAAAGCTGGCTGACTCCAAAGTAACAATCATTTACTAGGCCATGTGTTAGATGTTACACATGACTCCCGGCCTAAAAAGGGCTCATGGCCTGGGGTAAGGAACTCCAAGTTACATACAACGGAATTTAAACTTTAAATGCTCTACGAGAAATAACTTTTTATATAAAGGACTCCTTTTGTAGAATATCTTTCTTGAAAAATCAGATTTTCTTATCCTATATTATATTGGTTTTAACTGGGCATGCACACTCATTAGTGATTTGCCTCATTGCAGTATCTTTTTTGTGTTCATAATTACTTATAAAAGCATTTAAAAACCACTACATTAAATAGGGTAGGGAGCAAGAAGAAGGGAAAGGGAGGAGAAACCATGTTTGTTTGGAAAATATCACTTCTTTGTTCTTAATTTCAACTCTTGATATTCAGTTTAGAACTTACCCTAGCTTGAAGAATGTGTGTGTGTATGTATGTGTGTGTGTGTCTGAGATAGAAAAACAGAGAGTTTGTGAAAACTAATGATTGATTTCACATATTAGTTTTCACTTAGAATGCTGACTCAAACTTTAGACCACTGAGAAATGCTACAAACCCATATAAATCATGTGCATAAAATGCTAATACAAAAAACATAAGAACTGACACTATTCACATACTAAAACTAGCAGGCCTACACAAAATAATCTTAGAAACAATTCAAATAGATATATATAGCTCTAGTAGCTATATGTATATGATGTAATTAGTAACCCTATTTTATTTTTAAAAACAATCAGGTTTCTAGTCTCTATCTATGCAAGTCCTTCCAAATTACCTCAAAATATGCCAATTCTTTCTCTAACCCTAATATACAAGCAGACTTCTATGTTTCTCTTGCAGCAATAGCTATTAGAAAATCTTAACCTCAACAAGTTCAAACACAGACAAAGGAAAAGACTAAGCTTTCTTAAATAATTATGCTAAATTTCGTACCTTCACAATTTAATAGTGAAAACTCTTGAAAGAAAAGGAGTTAACCAAAACATAAACACGCTGTCCTATAACCCCAAAGATTTGGCCAAAAGACCTCCAAGAAGAAATTACTACTCACAATTTTTTGCATGTCAAACGAATACTCTACTCTAAATATTTTAATCTAAATTGTTAATTTCCCTTTCTCACACTAACCAGCTGAAGGCACCTCAATATCACTTTATTTATTTATATCTTCTTCCTTCCTAAACATGTTTCAGGGGTAGAACACAGAAAATACAGAGAGAAAAATACCTAGGAAATAACTAAATTTGATGCAATCCTTCACTAGTATCAGTGAAAGCATGTAGCTTTTCCTACGTCTAGCCCACCATACACATTTAGAGTCAAATGATTAGTCAAAAGACTTGTAAATCTTCCAAACAACCGCAAAGAGCTTCCTAACTGGCTGTACTACCAGTACGGAAGGTACTGGTTTTATATAACAAGGCAGTGAAGGGAAGTTAAAATTAACTTCAGGAAATTCCTCTTTGGGACAAAGTTGAAGAGAATTCTGAATATATCAGTACTGACTTAATCTGAGACACTTGATAGCAACTCTGTGGTGATTTCAAAGAACAAGATAAAATACGTCATTCAGCAGCCATTAAAGAAAACCACAGATACAAGGAAATAAAAACCAATTTTAGGAGAAAAAAACAAGGAGTAGGATATCCAACATGTATGTATCTCATCTTCAAAGTTAAAGTCATATTGTCAGTTGTCCAAAGCAGCTCAAATTTAAAGTTTGTGCTATGAAACTGTGCAAATATTTTCTTTTAAGGGCTGGAGAGAACCAATGCACTACTAGACTTCTTAGCCTCCTAAGTTACCTCGACCTACAGATAAGAGGCAACAAGTTTGAGAGACTAACTTAGATAGAAATCCCACCAAGAAAAGTTTTCAGTTTTTAAGTTTTACAGTTTGATTTAAAAACAAATTTCAAAATAAATCACAGCATCTTCTCTTTATGTATAACTTAGCAAAACCTTAATTAAATGTCCAAATATTAGCATACATTACCGCTGTCATTGGGGTGAAGGAATAGAAGCGTGGTAAAACAAACACCAATTATTTTAAAAACAACATACAAACCCTCTCGGATTGAAGTAGAGGGCCCAGAAATCCAACACTCAGCATCCTTTAAAGAAAATGAGAGCTAAATCTCTTTTTAATACCGATTCCAATATAGATTCCATTATTCAAACTCCTCCACAAATTACTGGAAAAACATGAGTAATTTCACAAAAATCACAAATTGAGTAGAATAATTATAACTGATATATAAATAAGGATTTACTAAAAAAGGCTTAAAGGGGTGATATTTTAAATCAAGGTTTTAAATATAAAAGGTGTCTTGTGTTGCTTCATCGCCCAGAGTTTCAGATGCTCCTTATTCTACAGTTACAGATTTGGCAAGGTTCCGGGGGAAATCAACCTGCAAAAAAAGAGCAAGATTTGAGAGATTATACAGACTGGGGAGAAAAGAGGAGCTGCTATAAGCAAATTATTTTTGTTTATAAAAACAGAAAACAACATGTTCATTAAACATCTTTATTATAGACTACAAAGAATTAAGATTAGAAAATATAGTCAAATAACATATCTTGAAAAGACTTGAAATCACGAAAAAGAATTCTGAAGGAGCCAGTTCAGCACAGGAAGAGCTCCTGTGGTCCTCCATAGAGGTGGCAGCCCTCTCAGAGGACACTAGAAATCTATAAGAGCAGGATGTTTTGGTTGTCACAATGACTAGGGGACCGGCGATGCTAAAAGTCCTGCAGTGTGTGGGACAGACAATCCTAAACAAAGAACTGCCAATAGCTACTCCATTAAGAAACATAGAAAACAAGTGGAGATTCTCCAAGGAGGTAATCTCAACCATGGAGGTAACCTCCAAGGTGCCTTTAAGTTCTATGGATAAGAAAATGTTATGGTGTAACTTACAAGTTGAGCCATGCAAATATAACAGTGACAGATACAGGTATCTAATGGATTTCTCAAATGCTTTTGCTAAAAACAGGAGGAAAACTATCAGAATGAACCTGGGTAAAAAGCCAGCCCAAGATATCTGCAGTGGTCCATCACTTACATCATAGCCTCTCAGCACAGCAAGGTGGAAAGCCAGCAACTGTAAGGGGATCACACTGAGAATGCCCTGCAAGCAGTCCACTGAGTGGGGCACCTTGATTGTTCTTTTTGTGTTCTTAATGGTCTCGGTATCTTCCTTATCACAAATCACCACTGGCCGTCCCTGGGGAAGAAAATCACACACACAATCACTGGTGAACAAAGGCAGGGCTGTAGCCTGTGAATGTGCAAATTTTGCACTGCACTATTCGCATGCAGCCTCAATGACATAGACTTATTTAAACTCACAGTCCTATGGGGTATGGATCTTACCTACAGTTGAGGAAACTGAAGCTTCGTGGGATCCAGTAATTTGTTTAAACTCACACAACTGAGAAATACCAGGGTTAGTACTTGAGTCCAGATCTGCCTGCCTTCAAAGCCCAAGTTCATAAGCACCATGTTGTGACTAGGGATTAATAATGTCTTTGGGGATTTATATATAAAGCCAAATGACCTGAAGAAAACTCAGTTAAGCAGAGCACCCATAATATTAATGTAAAATCTAGTTCCTCCTGAAATATTCATCTCAGAATATTAAATTAAAAGGGAGCAGCATACACTAGTTGAAGAGGACAGGATTTGGAGAATAAGACCTCAGTTTTGGTCTTGGTTCTGCCTATTATGAGATCTACGAGCTGGGTCCTGTCAATACTCTTGAATATCTCAGATTCATCACAGGTTAGTAAACCTAAACATGTTTTGTAAGCCACCTACTGGGCACTGGTCTATCACTTTAAATGTCATAAAATTCAAATAAGCTTTAGTGACCCAACTCTTAGATTGCCAACGTTGTCCTCCCAGCAGCCCAACTTACCTGTCTAGCAACCACCTGCTGAAGAGCATTCTGACACTTCGCATAAGTGTGATCTCTCATGATGATCATGATGACAGGCATCAACTTATCTACCAAAGCCAGAGGGCCGTGTTTCAACTCACCAGCGAGGATGCCTTCAGAGTGCATGTAAGTGATTTCTTTGATTTTCTAATAGGAAAGTACTAGATTAGTCTTCAGTCTGTTTTTCAAAGACTCATTCTTAAGTAAATATCACACAAAACATCTGATATCTGAAGTCACTATCGATTTATCCAAAAGTATTCAAGGATCACTGATCTGTAAATATAGCTAACACATTAATAGATCATTATTTCTATAATATCAACAAGTAATTGGAAGTTTTAAAACTCCACAAAGACATTTTAAAGATTTTGGATTATCAGGAATGTACACGTGTTTCTTTGTAACTGTTCTATTTGCTTCATTTTTACCCTCAATTAAATCTCACACCTAGAGAACTTAATCTTTATTTTATTCATATTTGGACAACAAATTAACCCAAGTTACTTGCTAACCCCGAGTTATGCTAAAATGTACTCTTCTTAATTTCACTTTTGAATTAAGTATTTTGTTACACTTTCTCAAGGTAAACAAATCAGAATGCATAAATACAAAGGCACTTTCAAAAGTTCCACCTATTTCATTCACTCAGTCTCAAAGTATGACTATGTGCCAGGTCTGTAAGTCAACAGACTGAAATTATAAGTCAGAAGACTTACCAGTGCCCCTTCAAGACAAGTAGCATAATGATAGCCACGTCCCATTATCAAGACCGACTTCTGATGATAAAGTTCAGTTGCCAGTTTCTGAATTTCATCATCCATGCTCAGTACTTCCTTAATCAAATCTGTTAAAAAGTAACATTAGCAAAATCTATGAAAAAAGGACAATAAACTGAACTGATATAATAATAATAATATATTGGTAGCAACCAACAAAAGACCAGTGTTTCTATTCTTCCGTGATGTCACTGAGGGATTTTTAAATACAGAAGTGCAAAAATAGGAAGATTTTATTGACTAAATAGCTACAACTTTAAGGATAAGAGAATTTTACCCATTACCCAGTCCCTTAGACAACAAAAGAATAATAATCTGAGTATCTTCATACCAGGCAGCCGCTTCAATCCAAGCATGATCTCTTTGCGTCTCTCTTGCATGGAGATCCTGTCATCACACATCATAAGGGCGAACATCACAAGGGATACAAACTGGCTGGTGTAAGCCTGAAATACCACAAAAAAGCAGAATTAGTTACAGTTGCATTTTAAGTACTTGGAATTTTTAATTTTAAAAAAAGATGAAAATAAAAAATTCCCATTGGTTTTATACGTATATATTGTCCATTTTTAAAAAACAGCGTTATTAACAGCAAACTGAACCAGTTTTTAGGAAATCTATCACGATTCTCCTTTTCTGAATTTGAACAAATGGCTTAACCTTTATTTCCAGGTACAAAATAAAAGTTCCTTATAAGACATGGATGCTTATGAAGTCCCTAATACCACAGAGAAAGGAAGAGAAACATGCCAAAGGAAGGCGAGAAGAGAGTGAACGCGCAGGCGCATAACCAAAATAAGTTTTTGAGGTAAGTCAAAAGCGAGAGTTTGAAGGACTCTTTGAGGTATTTTCCCTGGTTTTCTTGGATTTTTTTTAAAATTACTTTTTGATTTTTCACCTTCACCTACTGCCTGTTCCTCACTTCTACCTCTTTTTCTTAAGTTTGGCTAAAAATTTTTTAAAAGTTCAACTGCAGAAAAGTAAATTGAAATAAGAACAATCCTCAGTCTTACTAATAGGAATAATTACACTAATAACATTTGTGAATACTGCCTTCTGGTCTATACTATGTTTTTCTTTCTTTATATTGTTAAGAAAACTAATTATTAGTAGGTACAATTTTATAACTTGCTTTTATTCTTAATTAACGTTACAAGCACTTTCCCAAGACAGAATGCTTTCTCTGTTTACTACTGTGTAATAACCTTGAGCAGTTTTTTTCATCTCCTTAGGCCTCAGGTGGCCCGTCTGTTAAAAGGACACAATAGTTACAAGATTATCATAAGAATTAAATGAGACAAATATAAAGCATTCAGCATAATGCTTGACATACAGGCTCAAAACAAACTTTTTTACTGATGATAGCTTGAACTAAAAGACATTTATTTCCCTAGGCTACAGAATTGTGAATATTTTAAAACTTGCAGTCACACTGCCAAGACTGTTTTCATTCCCATTAGCTGTCGGTGAATGTGAGATATGCTTGTTTTGCCACATTCTTTGCAATACTGAGAATTATCCTTTTAACAAATTTTTACCATTTGACCACTGGACAATAGACTCTCACTACGACTTTACCACACATATCTTGAATCTGAAAAATTACAATTTTTTTTCACATTTGTTCGCCATTTATGTTTTCTCTTTTGAGAATTAACTTCATTGCTCTTCACTTGGCTTTGACTTGGGTTTTTTTTTTTAGTTGGTCTTAAGAAGGTCTGTGTTGTTATGGTTCCAATACTTTTTACCAGTTTGGGTTAACCTTTTATGATGGTGTTTATTGACTTCTTTTTAACTTTTATGTAGTCCTTTTAAGCTTACATAGTCGTGCCATCCTAACAGTTAAGTATTATTAAATTTTCCTAACTTTATTCTTTTCATTGTCCCTTTTTGATTTTTTTCTTTATATTTTCCTTCTTAGTCTATGTGAAATTAATTTCAGTGCAAGGTGTTAACTTCTGTTTTTATAAACAGCCGATTTTCCCTCCATTTCACCCCATCCTTTCTCTCTTGATTTGTGATATTCCCTGTAGTCTTAAGTTCTGTGATGTACCAAAGTTACATCATAGGACTATTGATTCTGTCCTACAGATCTGTCATTTCTTTACAAAACAATCTTCTCATCCAGAAATATGGTATTTCCATCAATTTGTGCTAGGAATTTAAAACTCTATAAAGTTATATAGTTTTCATCTATTAAACAAATATTTATGGAACATCTTACATATTTCTTGGTAAAGTTATTTTTCAGTCTTTTTTATAGCTATTGAAAAAGACTCCTCTCCTCCCTCAAACACACACTCCCATATCTTTTCTAAGTAGCCATCAACAGTTTATAGAGAAAATTTTTTTGTATATGTTTTATATGAAGCACCTTATATGAAGTCTTTTACTTGATATTCTTAAGCTCTGTAAGTAGTCAGTCATATAAGTTGCAAAGAAGGAGAATTTTGTTTCCTCCTTTCCTGCTGTTTTACTTATTTTTTTTTATTAAACTAGATAGAACTTCTAGGATAGGGAAAGCAAATATGTCTTATACAGAGCCAATTCTAACCGACTGATAGTCACATGTTGAGAAAGATTCTAAGGCCACATTTTTTTCTTCTCAGTAATACAGATAAAATCCTAGAAAGGTTCCAGAAAGAACAGCTAAGGCCCACCAAGATGAAGGTCCTAAAACTTCCTGTTTTGCAGTTCATTCATTCATTTTTCTCTATTATTTGCCTCCTTCTGCTTTATTGTGTTTCCTTTTTCTAACTTTTTGAATTAAATACTTAGTTCATTTTCTTTTTGAAGATAAAGCGTTTAAGGCTATTAATTTACCTCTAATTACCACGTTGGCCACACTCTCTAAACTTTTACCCACATTGCTCATTATTTTTTCTAGTAAAAATCTTTTTTTAATGGTAGTTCTGATGTCTTTTTAACTCAACAGTTATTTAGAGTAACGTTTTCATGTTTCAGGCATTTGAGGTTTTTATTTATATTTCTATTAGTAAACCACTAGGATTATTGTGGTGTCATTACCTACAATGTTATGTATAATTTTAACTTTAGGAAATTTATTCTGTTTTTTGTGTGTGTGTGGATAATATGCTGAATTTCTATTACTCTTCTCTGGATAAGCGATCACTTCATTAGTGAATATTTTCCTGTCATAATGTGGATAATGAGCCTCCTGCATAATAAAATCACAGTCTGCTAATGCTCCTCACCTTCCCAGTAGTTAAATGAGACTCTCTATTTCTTCTTGCTAGACCTCCCAGCTACCAGCTGCTCTTACATTCCTCCACAGTGACTCGTCCTGTGCACCTATGTCTTCCACTGTCAGACTGGGGTTTTTTTCCCATAGCACTAAAGTGGATTTGCAAGTCCCCTGCCTCCAGTCTAATGAGCACATCTGCATTCTAAATTCTAGATCCTCCCAGTCTACCTCTTTTTACTTTTCAATAAACCAATTAGTCACAAAATATACTATCAGGATGGAGGGAGAGATCGAATATCTTGGACCCCTAGGATACCTAAACTGTTTCTAATCAGACAGAATATCTGATCAGAATATTCCAGAATAATCAGACTGAACTGAATATTCCAGTTCCTCCAGCCCATAACTAAAAATGTTAGTCTACAGAGTAATGTTTCTTTGTTTGGACTTAAAACATCTCAACACTGGCTTTTAAGTACAAATATTAAACAGAGTAACTTTAATGTATGCATTTTACCACTGCATTCCTACTATAGCTTAATTTCCAATTTAATGTTTTTCATTTCAACAACACAGACCAGGAAACCAATTATAAGAAAAACAAGCTACACCTCACATTTAGAATTTACTGAGGTTTGAAAGAATTTACCAGGAAAATGTTGGCTCTGAACTTTTAAACTTGGTTTTACTTTTCATTCAGCCAAAAATAAAGTTATATTGGTTTATTTTTAAAAATCAACACAAGTCTGTACTGTGGTGAAATTCTAAACACTTGCAATAACATACAAAAATTGCTGAGCCTGCGCAGTTATAACCATCAATTCCTAGAGAAATATCAAATTGTCTATGGTCTGATATTATGAGAAAGTTAGTAACTTCTCTCTAACCTTGACAGTTTTTCAGGCAAAGTTGGGAATGCATAATTAAGATTATAGAATGACTGTGCTAGCTCCATCACAGGGCCCAGGGATCAAGGATGAACTTCTTTCATCACCCATTAATATATTAACTTATATTTGCCATTCAGAAATAACCTATGACTAAACATCCCAAAACTTTTAAATAACTCCAAGCCCAGAAGGTCTAAGGCAGTTGAACAAAACAAAATTACTTTAGAATCTAAGAAAAATTAAAATAAGACTAAATTGCCACACTTACTAAAATTTTTAAGGGAATCATCTTTTAAACAAATTAAAGTACGTACTATAAAAAGATGCTTATTTTCTTATGCAAGATGTAACCATTGGGGGAAACTGGGTGAAGAGTGCATGGACTTCTCTGTACTATCTTTGCAACATCCTATAAATCTACAGTTATTTCAAAATAAAATGCCAAAAAACTGAGGGAGGGGCGGGGGGAGGGGCTTGCAAAAAAAAAAAAAGAACTACCAATACAAATAACAACATGAATAAATGTCAAAAACCTCATGTTAAATGGAAGAAGCTAGACACAAAAGACGTGCATTATACAATTTCATTTATAAGAAATTTCTAGAAAATGACATAACATAGAAAGAGAAGGGCCGGCTCCGTGGCTTAGCGGTTAAGTGCGTGCGCTCTGATGCTGGCGGCCCGGGTTCGGATCCCGGGAGCGCCCCGAGGCACCACTTCTCCGTCCAACGCGAGGCCGAGTCCCACGTACAGCAACTAGAAGGATGTGAACCTATGACATGCAACTATCTACTGGAGCTTTGGGGGGAAAAAATGAATAAATAAAATCTTAAAAAAAAAAGAAAGAGAAAACAACAGTAGCTGCCTGAGGCTGAGGCTGAGGCGTAGGAGTGGAGATTGACTGTAAAAGAGCACAAAGGAACTTTTTCAGGTGATTAAGTCTTCCAAAACTGGATTGTGGTGATAGTCACACAGCCAAATTTACTAAAACTATACACTTAGAACTGGTGACTGTTATGGTATGAAAATTACACCTCAATAAAGCTGTAGAAAAAAGGTTAATGGTAGAATCCAGGTGATGGATATATGGTTGTTAACGTAAAATTCTTTTAACTCAGCGTATGTTTGAAAATTATCATAACAAAATGTTGGGGAAAATTAAACTTTTCATGAACAACAGAATTAGAAATCAAAAAAATTGTATCTCCCCTGGCAGCTCATGGTTCAAGAAAGATTTAATAAAAATGCAAGTCAATAGCATCCATTCAGTGGTACAATCCCATATAGCACATATGCCACGTTGAAGCCCTTGTTTCACAATGTGCTGTGAATAAAGGGACCCTGGGATTCCAATCCCCAATCAAAGCTGTCTGTCTGGACACTGTTCCAAAAATCCACAAGCTGCTGCTGAGGGCGGCTGGTTATTTCTTCAGGCATAGAATGAAGACTCAAGCCCAAACATCTTACATGTTTTAATGACCACATGGAGGAAATTCAGGTTTCAGCTTTCTGTAAATTATAGCGTTAGCAATATCAAAGTAACCAAGAAATAAAAACCTCCCTCAGAGTTATGTTTACATAAGAATCACAAATTTTCCACAAAAAAAATTCTCCATGAGGTTCTTTAAAAGGAAAAAAAATTCAAATGTGGTTATGTACATGTTAGCATCATCTCCCACACACTTTTAAACTCAAACCCACCAATACCTAAGCATCTTCTTAGACAATCAGCAAGAAATATTAGATTTAAGCAGAAGAATAGACAAGAAACAAAATTTTGAAGTCATAAAGAGTAATATATTCATGGAGAGAGAATACCTTTTACTTCCATACAACTTTCTAAGATTCCTATTTTTATTAGTAGTGCTAAACTTATGCATACCCTGATTTCAAAGAGCAACGTACAATCATGCGCCGTATAATGACGTTTCAGTCAACAACAGACCACATATATGACGGTGGTCCCATAAGATTAGCACCATAGAGCCTACGTGTGTAGTGAGCTATACCATCTAGGTTTGTATAAGTACACTCTATGATGTTTGCACATTGATGAAATTGCCTAATGACACATTTCTCAGAACGTATCCCTGTCATTACGCAATGCACAAATATAGTCTCACTAGGCATTAAAAAAAAAAAACGAAGTTGCTTTTAAATCTCCACAGATGTAGTATCCAAAGAGAAACAGATATTGTCACATAATACTCATTTTTATTTTTTTAAATCATCAGATTTTATACCAAAGGTATACTCCTCCTTACAAACTTTCAAAGGTAGTACGTATATTTTGACATATTTATTAGAAAATATGAATATGTAAATAAAAGTGTAAAAAATTGTTAGAATTATACTGGATGTTTCTGATTTGTTATTTTCTTAATTCTCTACCATACTTAATAAAGAAGGGGACTTTATACTTACCATGTATCCCACTGCACCTGGCAGGAGGACTATAAGTGATGAAGGGGGGTAGCCAGCAGAGGCCTTTTCAAAATGGACTTATGTTATATACATTTGTCCCTTTTAAACTCTTAAGCAGGCGTGAGAAAGGGGAGGACAAGTGTTTTATCTATTATTGACCCTTAAGTCTTATAATAATTATAATGATCAGTAAACCATATGAGTTCTATAATTGCTAACAAATGAAACATAAGACACGAATTAGTCTGTTTCACCAACACTATGATTAAATAATCATATGAGAACTAAGTCAAGCATTTACCTTTGTACTGGCCACGCCAACCTCAGGTCCAGCATTAATGTGAACGCCACAATCTGTCTCCCTTGATATGGAACTGCCGACCGTGTTTGTGATTCCCACTGTTAAAGCTCCTCTCTCTTTACAGTACCGAAGACCCATCAGGGTATCTGCTGTCTCACCTGTATAAAAACGAAGCAAAAGTAACACAGAGAGCAGTCAACATATGCTGTTTCTTAGATGCGAAAACAAAAAACTGACTACACTTTCAACATCATTTGTTTTAAATAAAATTTAAAACATGCACTTAAAATAATAAATTTGTAAAACTTTTAATAATAGGATCCTATGTTACTTTCTCTTTGAAAATTCAGCTGAGTGTAAAACGTTAATTTTACTAATTCATAAAGAATTATGTAATATCAAAATAAATCTGTATTTGTCAAGTCATCTGAAATACCAGTTTATCTTTAAATATCAAGTTTTGCCAACACATGCTATAATTATTAGAAAGAAGGACTTTCCTTTCCTTCAATTCTTTAAAATTAGCATACCTGACTGACTAATGAAAAAGCAAACATCATCTCGAAAAACCGGCGTGTTTCTATCCAGGAAATCACTGGCTAGCTCCACCATAACAGGCAACTCAGTCAGCTCTTCGAGAACTTGACGCGTCTGCAGAGAAAAGATGACTTGGTCATACAACTTTACTTCAAATACTCTTTCTCACTAGACTTCTTTGGACTCAATGTATAGTTTTCATTTTTTCAGATTATAAAAACAATACATGCGCATTGTTAGAAAATACAAACATTACAGATTAAAGCACAAAAAATAAAATGATCAAAATCCTACCACCTAGGAGATAAGCACTGTTAACATTTTAGTACAAGTCTCTTTAGACACTTATCAATGCATGTATTCTTATAAGCAAATACACACACACACAAATGTTTTGAGAAGTGGAAAAAGCACTGTTCTGAGTTAGCTTGTGTGTTATCTCCATCTTCTCAATTCCTAATCTTTGTATGACAATTCATATAATACCAAGTCCCTCAGAGATTTCAAATGAGACAAAAACATATGTATAAACACCCAGTGAAATTCAACACTTCAAAAATACTATGTATTCATAAATAGTACCATTTCCAAAGAAAAAGTCAATACGCTCTAGAAATCTTGTTTTTAAGAAAGCTCACTATTTTCAAACTTTGTAGTATGGAAGGTGGAGTAGGGGGTAGTTTGCTTCTGTTCAAAGGGCACCTTAACATTCATTTTACTAAATTTCCATTCTAATTAAATTTCTTTTACTCTAAACATCAGAAAATTAAAAACAACAGAAAAATTAACTTTTAGGCAGCAAAAATTTTAGGCCCTGCAGATGCGTATATTTAGTTGTTTTAATAATTACTGTGGAGACCACCTACTTCTTTAGGCAAGTAGCCCCGCCCATCTCTTACCCCATCTCTGCATTCCTCCTTCACAGCAGTGAAGAATTGTAAAGGTTTCCTTACTTCACGTCCCTTTAACTTTCTCGCCTACAAATGTAAACTGAATAGTTTTGTTCTATAACTTTGATTTTAGGACTTTTTAACAATGGTATATAACATCACGTACAGAAAGTCTTCAAAGATAAAACATCTGTATTTTTAACTAACCTTGTCCAATGATGTATTTTATTTAGTAATTATACATAAATAAGTTACTGACGCTAAAATGCTAAATGTTTTCCCTCAAATAAATGTAAATCAAACTTCCTCTCCAGTTTACAATATAAATGTTACGCTAGAATTACATTCTTCAAAATAAAAAGAGAAAGATACAAATCTGGCAACTTACCAGATATTTAAAAATAATATGCCCCAAAAAAGAAATCTCAAGATATATATGTGCTAATGAATGGATTGTTCTTTCAGTAGAAGCAGCTCTTTATAAATAGAAAGAATGACATTTTTTCATCATAAGAGACTAATTCAATGTTATAAATTCCATTGCATGCCACTGTAAAAACCTGGAGACAGCTAACATTTTGAAAAGCAAGCTATACTTAGAATGTTTTGGTTGACTGTTATTATTCAGGATACAGAGCATGTACTAAAAAAAACAGCTATGCAAAGGTATCGTTTGTTTTTGACCTCACCAAAAAAACAAAAACAAAAACCTAGATAAAATAAAATTGATGACACTACTTCGTATGATACACTGCAAAGAGATTTCTAACATTTGTCAACTATAGCCATCTCAGCATCCACCAAAAAAAAAAAAAAAAAAAACCCTTACATCTTCTCAAATTTTAGAATTAGAGAATTCTAACACAGCATATAATTTCTCCTCCAAAATTCAGGCTTAGCATTAGATGAAACATTTAATAATAGATGGCTCATTCAACAATAGATCTAAGACACCACTACCTTAGCCACTCCCTTAATTTACACTAATGTCATTAATGCATTCTTTTTTCTTCCATGCTCAAAACAATCACTTTCTTACAACCCTTCCTTTCAATCCTACATAGACTTTCCTTTTTAGGACTATGTAATTTTAGGGAGAGAGAAGTAGAGTGCTTTAGAGAAGAGCAAAGCCTGTTGAGATGAAAGGGCTGAGTTACCAAGTTAGTTTCACTCACTAAATGACCAGCTCCCACAAGTACAGATAATAAATATTTATGCCCCAGCAAATAAAAAATTACTATGTCATGAACTTTGGGAATCAATCCTAAAAGTAGAAACTGAGCATATAAGGGTCTTCTGTACTTATGGGAGTCAGTATCAACAGCACATAAATTGTCTTTTTATAAGGAAACTACACGTGGATCTGATTTATTGGACTAAAGACCATTATATTCCTATGCTTCTGCACTGACAACCAACATGAGTCTTCGATAAAGAATTTCAGCTTCCAAAATAACAATTTAAAGAACAAAGTCTGACAAAAAGCAGACTTCCTTTCTTTGCAGAAATGTGCCTACTAAGTAAAATCCTGTACAGATTCACACGGCACCAGCCCTCTGTCTGGGGCATGTGAACTGATAAGCGAAACCCAATGACTGCTCTTACACAAGTAGGCATGCACTCCAGACTACAAGGCCAGGATGGTGTAAACCTTTTCCCACTCTGTGCCTCTCATGAAGTCAGTTGAAGATGGCCCACCTATATAACGAAGGACCTTTCTAAAGCAGATCTATTATTGCTAAATAATTCCAAGCAGCTATGAAAGTTTCTTCCCCCAACTTTCTTGATTTTTGTCATCGCAACATGCAAAGATAATGTGATGTTTTAACAAGAGATAGTTTCACATGTGTGTTACGGGAGGTACTGTTTGTCTGCAGATATCTTCTAATACTTAACACAATTAAAATTTTAAGAAGCCACTTACTGCTACACCAGCATGATAACTTGTTCCACAAGCAATAAGAATCAAACGCCGACACCTCTGGATCTCCTTAATGTGATCCTTCAAACCGCCCAAATTCACTGAAATAAAAATTTGTGTAAATAATTATTTTGGAAAGAACCATATGAAATAGGCAATCGCTTTTCATGAGTGTCCACTGCCAATCAGGGAAACAACACTGTTTTAAAGAATTCATATTCCTCTCAGGAAGCAGAGTTCTCTATAGTTTTGAAAAGTAAATTAAGTCAACTTAACGGGCCCCCCAAACTTGTAACTAACCTTACTTGCCTCCCTACATAGCCGCACAACTACAGTATTTATCACACTCTACCTTGTTTGGTCATTTTTACATTCCTCTCTTTAGATCAAAAGTTATCTTAAAGGCAAAACTATAGGAACACAGACAACAGATCAGTAGATGCTCATGGCTGGAGGGGGGGAAGTGGCTGACTAGAAAGGGGCACAAGGAGATTTTTAAGGTGATAGAACCGTGCTATATCTTGATTGTTGTAGAGTTTAGGATTATGACCATGTTGTGGAAGTTTGTCAAAACTCACTGAATTATACATTAAGAATGATGAATTTTATTATATCTAATTATAACTCAATAAGCCTGCTTGGAAAAAAGAATCATTTGGTTATGTTCATTTCCCCTACGGCACCTAGAACAGTGCTCTGAACACAACATAAACCCACTCTCCTCTCAGTCTTTCCCATCTCAGTAAATGCCATCTCCATTCATCTAACATCGGAGTCACCCTTGATTGCTCCTATCCCTCCTCCACATCCACTCCACAAGCAAGTCCTGTGAGCTCCACCTTCAAATTGTACCTCTAATGCCATCACCTAGCCCAACATCTCTCCCCTGGACAAGAGCAATGTTCTCCTAACTCTTCTCTCTTCTATTCTCCACCTCCTGGAGCCTGTTCTACACAAACACTCAGAATGATCTTTTAGAGTGATTCTTTAAAAACATAAATCTGAGGCCAGCCCAGTGGCACAGCAGTTAAGTGCGCACGGTCTGCTTCGGCGGCCCAGGGTTTGAAGGTTCGGATCCTGGCCGCGCACCGATGCACTGCTTGTCAAGCTATGCTGTGGCCGCGTCCCATATAAAGTAGAGGAAGATGGGCACAGATGTTAGCCCAGGGCCGGTCTTCCTCAGCAAAAAAGAGGAGGATTAGCATTGGATGTTAGCTCAGGGCTGATCTTCCTCACAAAAAAATAAATAAATAAATAAATAAAAACATAAATCTGATCTCAAAATGAGCCTGTCCTCTTTCTTTTTCTGTCTCTATAACTATGTATATGTTCTTCTAAGGGTACCTTGTCTATGGATCCTTCTTCACAAGGCTAGTTTTCTACCTGTGAGAAATTTTCATTCAATATTCATTCAATTATTCAACTAATATTTCTTGAGTACTCACACAAGTGAAGATACTGTCCAAGGTACTGTGTGGCTACCAGGAGTCTCTACTCAGTTCGAAATCTGGCTGAGGAGAGAGATGTGCACACCCGTGGGCAGCATCCTCCTGCATCTGTGCCACCATCCAGTCCGTCTACTCTGCCCCTGCTCTTTGTCTCGCCAACTTTTTTCCACCTCAACTGGTTACAACACGGAACCAAGGTATATGTTTTGCTTTTATCTTTTTCAATAATTTTATGTTCTTTTTAAATTTCAATACTGAGAGGGCATATTATATTTCTCTATTTTAAAAAATTAGTAAAGTAGACAATAAAACAACAAAAAAAATCTTGACTGGCTTCCCAAATAACTTAGAAAAACATCTAAACCCCTTATTATGGCCTTCCAGTCCCCACCTGCCCTGTCTCCTGCTGAACTCTGACCTATCTCCCAGCACTTCTCCTCTCACCCGAGCCACTCCAGCCACACTGGCCTTCTCGCAGTTCCTGCGCTAGACCAAGCCTGTTCACGTGCCTCTGCCTATAGTGTTTTCCCATAGACCTCAGCACATACTGAAAAGGTTTGGGAAGAAAGGAAACAAGAGTATGAGGTTGGTTTAGGGTCATGCAAAGGTAAATCAGTTTCGAGATGACTCAGTACAAAAGCAGACTATCAGAGAGACTTGTATTTCAGAGGATGACCAAAAATGACAGGGAGGTAAGATGGTGAGATTAGCTGGTCACAAGGATTTCCCTAAAACTGTCCTAGAAAATTCCCTGCTGCCTGCTTGGGGTAGTTCTGGAAGGAGTGGCCCAAGGTCTGAACTGATGATGCTTTCAGGAGCAGCCTACTTCTGATAAGGTAGGCCACAGCCATGGAAGCAGCAAGAGAGCCTGGAGGATGGAGGCGGAGATGGAGCATACTCGGGACACCACTGAACAAAGGAGGCTAGACCGGCTCCCTAAATGACAAGTGATGTGACCTTTGGCAAGACACACAAACCGACAGAGCTTCAATTTCCTTATCTTAACAACAAAAAATGTTAATAGCTATCCTGTTTATAACAGAACTTTTATGAGGAACACATAGATAAAACTGCTTTTTAAAAATCATGCCTTTTCAAAGTTTGTCTCATTCTGTTCCCTTATAAATCAAATCTTTTTCCTGATCTTATTTCCATAAATACCATAAACGGTATTTACTGCTACTCTCCCAGTTCTTTCAGCTCCACCATCTTCAAGAACACCCTCCCCTGAAACAGGCAGATGCAGGTCCTGGCTTAGACGGCTCTGTTTCTCTCCTGGTCCCCACTTCCCTCCCCTTCCCCACTGCTCTACCCGAGATGGGACAACATCCTTACTGGCAACTGCATCCCAGCCTCTCGCTACTCCGATGCAGTAAAGCTTTGATCATCCCTGGCTCCTAAGTCTCTCGTAAGTCTCCTAATAGCTCTGCAATTTCTTACAAAAGGAGGGACCCCTCAACCACCCCCCCATTATAATCTAATCAAGGCCCTCCTTGGCAGTTCCACTCACCTTCTTTCCTAGACTTACTGCTCTTTACTCATCTTCAAGTACTAAAAGTGGCAGACAAACGGACTACATTATTATTCCACAAATAGCTTTCTGATGGTTTTTCCACTATCTCCCCTTAGCTAATGTGTTCTATCCAACTGCAATGCTCCCAGCTCATCTTCACCTATTTAAGCCTTCCAATTCCTTTAAAGCCACACCTGCCTACTTCATGAAGCCTTCCCTGGCCCCAAAGCCCCTGCCCACAAACAGATTCATTCTCTCCTTTCTCTAAATTCAACATTAAACTTTAAACATTTCAACATAAACGAGTATGGTAAAGTTGCAGGATACAAAATCAACATACAAAAATCAGTTGCATTTCTGTACACTAACAACGAAGTAGCAGAAAGAGAAATTAAGAATACCATCCCATTTACAATTGCAACAAAAAGAATAAAATACCTAGGAATAAACTTAACCAAAGAGGTGAAAGATCTGTACACCGAAAACTATAAAACATTGCTGAAAGAAATTGAAGAAGACACAAAGAAATGGAAAGATATTCCGTGCTCTTGGATTGGAAGAATTAACATAGTTAAGATGTCCATACTTCCTAAAGCCATCTATAGATTCGATGCAATCCCTATCAAAGTTCCAACAACATTTTTCACAGAAATAGAACAAAGAATCCTCAAATTTATATGGAACAACAAAAGACCCCGAATAGCTAAAGGAATCCTGAGAAAAAAGAACAAAGCTGGAAGTATCACACTCCCTGATTTCAAAATATACTACAAAGCTATAGTAACCAAAACAGCATGGTACTGGCACAAAAACAGACACACAGATCAATGGAATAGAATCGAAAGCCCAGAAATAAACCCACACATCTATGGACAGCTAATCTTCGACAAAGGAGCCACGAACATACAATGGGGAAAAGAAAGTCTCTTCAACAAATGGTGTTGGGAAAACTGGATAGCCATATGCAAAAGAATGAAAGTAGACCCTTACCTTACACCATACACAAAAATTAACTCCAAATGGATTAAAGACTTGAATGTAAGACCTGAAACTGTGAAACTTCTAGAAGAAAACATAGGCAGTACGCTCTTCCACATCAGTCTTAGCAACATCTTTTCAAACACCACATCTGACCGGGCAAGAGAAACAATAGAAAAAATAAACAAATGGGACTACATCAAACTAAAAAGCTTCTGCACAGCAAAGGAAACCATCAACAAAACGAAAAGACAACCTAACAATTGGGAGAAGATATTTGCAAACCATACATCTGATAAGGGCTTAATCTCCAAAATATATAAAGAACTCATGCATCTCAACAACAAAAAAACTACCAACCCAATTAAAAAATGGGCAAAAGACCTGAACAGACATTTCTCCAAAGAAGATATACAGATGGCCAACAGACACATGAAAAGATGTTCAAAATCACTAACTATCAGGGAAATGCAAATCAAAACTACAATGAGATATCACCTCACGCCCGTCACAATGGCTATAATTAACAAGACAGGAAACAACATGTGTTGGAGAGGTTGTGGAGAGAAGGGAACTCTCATACACTGCTGGTGGGAGTGCAAACTGGTGCAGCCACTATGGAAAACAGTATGGAGATTCCTCAAAAAATCAACGATAGAACTACCATATGATCCAGCTATTCCACTGTTGGGTATTTATCCAAAGAACTTGAGAACACCAATTTGCAAAGGTACATGCACCCCTGTGTTCATTGCAGCCTTATTCACGATAGCCAAGACTTGGAAGCAGCCTAAGTGCCCATCAAGGGACGAATGGATAAAGAAGCTGTGGTATATATACACAATGGAATACTACTCAGCCATAAGAAACGACGAAATCCAGCCATTTGTGACAACATGGATGGACACTGAGGGTATAATGCAAAGTGAAATAAGTCAGAGGGAGAAGGTCAAATACCGTATGATTTCCTTCATTAAGTAGTAGATAATAACAACAATAAACAAACACATAGGGACAGAGATTGGATTGGTGGTTACCAGAGGGGAAGGGGGGAGGGAGGAGGGTGAAAGGGAGAATTCGGTACATGTGTGTGGTGATGGGTTGTAATTAGTATTTTGGTGGTGAACATGATGTAGTCCATGCAGAAATAGAAGTACAATGATGTACACCTGAAATTTTTACAATGTTAAAAACCAATGTTACTGCAATAAACAAAAAATTAAAAAAAAAAAAACATTTCAACATAAAATGTGTTTCTAATGCCATTTATCATATTCTATCTTTCGTTAAGTAGTTAATTATATATTCATCCCCCCTTCTAGATTATAAGAACCTCAAGGAGGAGAATAAATCAGAGATAACTTTCCTATGGTCCCCGATATGTTCAGTATGGTGCTCTATGCATAGATGTTCAATTCATAATTCAGCCTTCAACAAGAGAGAAAGAGTCTGATGCTGCTCAGAAAAGAAAAATCTATAAAGACAGCATTTATTCAGAGAAATCGTTCTCTGTCAATTAGCAGGACATGGCATGAAGGAGAAGACATTTAATAATGTGCATATGACACACAGATTCAGGAAAAGATTTTTGCACACCTGCTATTATTTCTCAAAAACCAGTTCCTAATGCTAAGAAGCTTAACCCAAAGCTTGTTCATTAAACTGTTTATTAAACTGGTCATGATGAATGAGTAGTGCTCTGAAAACCTGATTTAGCAATAAACAGTTCAGGGACAGCTTATGACCACAGACCATCGATCTCAAACTCATCTCAACAAGGTACACAAACTCCTGCCTCACAAAGTCTAGAGAGAATTTCCAGAAATAAGACCAAGTTGCACTCTCAACTCTACCTTAAACACACAGGAACGGTACACGTTATCCCATAAGGCATCAGGCAAACACCTGGAACACCTCTGGGGAAGTTCAGACCTTTACTCATTTATAAACTGAGAGGGAAAACGGAGGCTGAGTAGATACATGTAAGCTTCCCAATAAGGGGAGCAGTCTCGTTCTTCTTAGAAAGTACAGTGTGGGGCTGGCCCCGTGGCTTAGCGGTTAAGTGCGCGCGCTCTGCTGCTGGCGGCCCGGGTTCGGATCCCGGGCGCGCACCGATGCACCGCTTCTCCGGCCATGCTGAGGCCACGTCCCACATACAGCAACTAGAACGATGTGCGGCTATGACATACAACTATCTACTGGGGCTTTGGGGGAAAAATAAATAAATAAAATTATTAAAAAAAAAAAGAAAGTACAGTGTCTAGGACAGTCCCTGGTACACAGCAGGTACCCAACAAAGGTTTGTTGAACTAAAAAGAAGTTAAACATGTGTTTAATGGTACACTGAAGGACTTCTTCTCCCCAGGAAAATCCCCCTAATACTCCCATAACTGACAATAATTTTCAAATGTGACTTTCTAGTCATTTTTTATATTTTTTATAACCATTATATTGAGATATGTCACATATCATAATATTCACCCTTTTAAAGTGTACAATTCAGTGGTTTTTAGTATATTCAAAGTTGTGCAGCCATGACCACTATCTAATTTTAGAACATTGTCATCACCCCAAAAAGAAACCCCAGGGGCCGGCCTGGTGGCATAATGGTTAAGTTCACACACTCCGCTTCAGCAGCCCGGCATTCACGGGTTCAGATCCCGAGTGCGGACCTACACGCTGCTCATCAAGCCATGCTGTGGCAGGTGTCCCACATATAAAATGGAGGAAGACGAGCACGGATGTTACCCCAGGGCCAATCTTCCTCAGAAAAAAGAGGAGGATTGGCAACAGACGTTAGCTCAGGGCTAATCTTCCTCACCAAAAAGAAGAAACCCCATATCCATTAGCAGTCACTCTCCCATTCCCCTCTCCCCTCAGCTCCTGGCAACCATTAGTTATTATTCCCTTTTTTTTATTGTGATAAAATCAATTTAAAATTTTAACTATGTTTAAGTGTACAATTCAGTGGCATTAAGCATATTCATATTGTTGTGCAACCATCACCACCATACATCTCCAGAACTTTTCCATCATCCCAAACTGAAACTCTGTACCTATTAAATAATAACTCTCCATTCCCCCAACTCTCCCCAGTCCCTGGTAACCACTAATCTACCTACTGTCTCTATGAATCTGACTATTCTACATACAGCTCACATCAGTGGAATCATGCACTGAAGGACCTTTAAAAGATAACTGGGCTCCACTGACGGCCGGCAGCTATCGTTGTTCTACAAGGCTACAGAGAACAATGAACTTTCAGGCTGTCAATGCCAGCTCCCACAGGAGACTCTGGAATAACAGAGTAATTAATATGTAATTACCAGTATAGTCATCAAAGTTGACTCTTCCTCTCATAGTGTTCACAACTGACTCTGGCTGCTCAAAAATTTCCTTCTGCATAAATGAACTGAAGTTGCCTAAAGTAACATAAATTATATCATTAGAACAAAAATTAACAAACCAAAGAATAAGAAATTTGTACACAACTAAAGATCTATCTTCTTGAACATAACCTTAGTAATTTAAACGAAACAAAAGGTCATGTGATAGAGAACAATATTCATATATGACATTTTAGCCTATGTGAAGAAAATGAGCAAGTAGAGAGGAAAAAATCACTTTTATTAACTTCATACCTAAAATATGCAATTACAGCAAAACAGGGGAGTGTGACAAGCTTAAGTTTTGGAGTCAGAACAGACCTAGGTTCAACTCATGGCTCTATCCTTTATTAGCTAAGGGGTTCTGAGGAAATTCCTTAGTCTGTAAAGTAAGAACAGCAGCTACTTCACAGCATTGTAGAGTAGATTAGTATCGTAAAGACTTGACATATAGCAGGTACGCAATAAATGTTAGCTTGTATTTCCACTACAACCCCATCAGAAAGGAGGAGAATAAAAACCATAATCACAGTAATCATAATAGTTAATAGCAGCAAACATTATGTAGGGCTCACTAAGTGTGTCAGCCACTGTTCTAAGGGCTTTAGATATTTTAGCTCTCTTAATCCTCAAAACAACCTTAATGAGATAGGTCCTATTATCCTCATTTTATACATGAGAAAACTGAAGCACGGAGAGAATAAGAGAGGAATAAATAACAGAACACAAACTATGTTCATAAAGTATCTTAAAAATATCGAGTACTATTTAAATAATCTCTTAATGTTAGAAACAACAAACCATGAATTAGTTTGAAGGAGAACTACTGTAAAACCACCAGATACTTTCTCCAAAGAATCATCCCTTTTCCTGGGGTTATCCCTTCACTAATCATGTGGAAGATTTCACTCAGCTTTGTTATCAGGTTCCTACACTAGGAGAGGAAGTACAATGTATCCTTTCCATTAAGGACACCAAGCTAAGATGACAAAAACTTTCACCCTTCATGATCTGCTGGAGTTCCATCTGGAGGGTTTGCACAGCTCGTCCAGGGTGATCTCCGGCAGTTCGTTTAATTCGATGGATAGAAAGACGGCCATCCACCACCGCTGCGACATCATCATCTTCAAGAAAGATGACGCGATTGGTGTGTTCTATGACAGCACTATAAAACATTCAAGGAGATATTACAACCAATAATCAAGGATGATTATTACAAATAAAATATCATTAGGACACAAGGACCAAACGTAAATACAAACTCTATCACCCTGCAATATCTCTGATAACTTTCTGGTTATCAATGCCATTCCCTACAACGGTGTGAGGGGGCATGGCACACTGTAGATAATGAACAAAAGGATCTCTGTGCAGCAACCTAAACCGAATTAGATTAGATCAGAAAGTATGGCTATTTCCTTCTCGTTCTATCTATCACCAAGTCCTCCAATTTTAACATCTAAATGTTTCTCAAAGCTTCTCTCTGTCTGCCACCACAAACCAGTTCAAGCTACCATCAGCCCTCGGCTGGACTACTGCAGCAACCTCCTAACTTATCCAACTACATTCCCTCTAATCTCCCTCCATCCATTCTCCATTTCTGCCAAAATGGATATCAAAAGGCAACTCTAATCAAGATTCCTCCTCTACCCAACAAACCACTTGATGGCTTCCCTTTGGCTCTCAGGAAAACAACAAAATGCCTTATCGTGAGCCCTACCTCCTTCTCTAGCCTCACCTCCCACTAAACTTCCTCTCTCTATTCCAGCCACACTCACACCCATCCCAAGCTCTCACAGGCTGATCCATCTGCAGAGAATGAAGGTTCTTCCCTCTACCTCTTTACCTAATTAACTCCTACTACTCCTTAATTTTCAGTTCAAGTATTATTCTCTTAAAGAAATTTACCCATAGGAGGGTAAGTCACTCTGTTACAGGCATTCTGTAGCTCTTGTCACAGCTGGAATTCTACACTTTGTGACTAATTAAAATCTGTCTCCTCCATTAAGGAAGAGCTCCTTAAGGACACATAATATTTTTATTTTTACTCACCATTATCTCCTGAGCCCAGCACATAGCTTTGCTAGAGTGTTCAATACGAACGTATGAGTGAATGACAATTTCCAGTTTATTTAAGCCATAACTGTCAACTCTGTAACAAACCTACTTAATGACAGCAATGATACATCTCAGCACTAACTACACACCTACCAAAACTAGAAAACAGTGATGCTTATTTTCCCACTGAGATAATACACTCCCTACAGTCCTAAACTGCATCATTTTCCATTTTTAGATCTCCTTCCTCTCAGGCACAAGGAATGACTCAAATACTTCTTGGCAATTTGAGTGATTCCATTTTATCCTCATTACTATTAGTATTTCATTTATAAATGCATCTATGCACCCCACTGTATTTTTCTCTCAAAATGTCTTAGTCTAGGGTCGGCCCAGTGGCGTAGTGGTTAAGTTCACGTGCTCCGCTTTGGCGGCCTGGGGTTTGCAGGTTCAGATCCGGGTGTGGACCTACACACCATTCATCAAACCATGCTGTGGCAGCGTCCCACAATCAAAATAGAGGAAGACTGGCACAGATGCTAGCTCAGAGGCAATCTTCCTCTAGCAAAAAGAGGAAGATTGGCAACAGATGGTAGCTCAGGAACAACAGATATTAGCTCAGGGCCAATCTTCCTGACCGAAAAAAAGGGGCCGGCCCGGTAGCACAAGTGGTTAAGTGCACGTGCTCCGCCGCTGCGGTGGCCCGGGGTTCGCCAGTTCAGATCCCGGGCGTGCACCGACGCACTGCTTGGCAAGCCATGCTGTGGCGGCATCCCATATAAAGTGGAGGAAGATGGGCATGGATGTTAGCCCAGGACCGGTCTTCCTCAGCAAAAAAAGAGGAGGATTAGCAGATGTTAGCTCAGGGCCTATCTTCCTCACAAACAAAAAGTCTTAGTCTAGTACTATTTCCTTTATAAAAGTGTTTATGCTGCAAATTACTTCTGAATTAAAAAGATAAGTGTCCACACTGAACTAAAATTACAATGGTTTAGCAACTATAATAGGTGGAATACTACGCTATTCCACTCTCCAATCTAAAATATCTCCTCCCTACAAAACCTGGATAAGCCTCCAAAAAGAAGAAGAAAAATAATAGAAGAGCTCAGAGTAAATACACTGGAACAAGTCTCAAGGACGAGTATCTGTTCTTGGTAAACTGACATATGTGCTTTGAATTGAGAGAAGAAGTGTTCTTAGAACCACATCTCCAGAAAGGTCACCTACACTTCCCTAATTAACAAAGTCGCCTACACAGCATGACTAGATTTATACAAAATGACTTCTTGGTTTCCTGTAGCATGAGAAGTTTTACTAAAAATTCCCTTTTCATCAACTAAAGGAAGCTTACCTTGCATCAGAAGCAAAGTAATATTCCACTGCTTTTTCTTCAACAGGGAAAAGGCAAGTTGTGCTGTCCACACGAGAGAGATTGCAGCTTCCTTTCTTGTCTTTCCCTAGAGAACAGCACTAACACCAATCAGCAAACATGTAGGAAACCACGGCCGATATATAAATATACATAATTTTCTACAAAATCAACAAAAAACCATAGCAACTCAAAATAATTTCAGCAATTTTAAAATGCCAGGTAGATCACCTTATTTCCATGCATTAAGCCAACAAGAACAACAGACAAAAGGTGTGGAATGAAATAGCAACTATCAAAGAAAGCGTGGCAGGTAACAGTGCTGTTATAAATTTTTAATGTAATATTTCTTTTCCAGGTAAAAGGCAAATAATTCATTAATATCACTAACTCTTTTTTTGAATCAAAAGTATGTATAGCTTAATCTTAATTTAACTTTATACAAAATTTGATGGAATTAATACATGAGTTCGTATACCTAAACTTATCATAAAAATTACATTAAAAATATCAAAATTATGCAATGAAAAACAAAATGAAGGCTAGTGGTGTAGTAATTATTATTATCTCATAAACAATACTTCTCTAGATTTTAACAGTAAGTCAGCATAACAAATCAAGTTGTAGTCCACACTAACTCTGATTTAAAAACAAAACAAAGTACTTATAACTTTCTAACCATGATATATCATATGTGGCACCTACTGCTAAGGACTGGAAATATAAACTCAGAACCTCTCCTATCTTAAAATTGGGTTTTCTTACATTTCTTTTAAGTCAGGAAAAAGTATGATCCTTTTGCAATGATAATATCTTTTTAATTCTAGCACTTTAGAATTCTGGCATCTCTACTTAATTTGTCAAGTCATTGATGAAGAATTTTTTTTTCTTTTTGCTCATTCACAACTAAAGTCAAAACTGGAGAGTATACTGAAGTTTGACAAATTAGCCAAATATAGAAAAAAATCTATTAATTGAAGACTTCATAGAGACAAAAAAGCACCTTTCTCCAGGATCGGAAAGTAGTAGACCTTATAACCTATGGACACAATGGCCAGAGAATACCATAAATATATTTGTAAAAACTCATGTCTATCCTCTAAAATGCATGTCTATAAAGACTTGGTAATAATTATTCTCAGAAACATACAAAGTTCTTGACAATCCATGAGTATTTGGTGTGTGTTAGGCATGAAAACAAAACAGCTCTTCCCATCCAAATTCAACAGCAGAAAAGATACCACACTTTAAGAAATAAGTATAAGATGACATCCTAGAAAAGATAACACTATACAGAGATAAAACAGATCAGTGTTTGCCAGGGGCTAAGAATGGCGACAAGGGTTGACTACAAAGGGGCACTAGAGGGAAATTTCTAGGGGATGGAATTGTCCTGTGTCTTGATTGTGGTGGTGGTTACACAACTGTGTGCATTTGACAGAACTCATGAAACCGTACATCAAAAGGAGTGAACTTTACTCTATGTAAAAACGTGAATTTCAAAACAAGTAAAAGGAGAGCCCAGCACCTACACTTTTTAAATAAATACAACTAGCTTTGGTTATAAAATATTCTAATGGAGTTGAGTTTTACTATATTCTTTCTCCTAATATTGGTTATTTCATTCTTCAAGTAACAGGTATATTTAATTACACTATTTAGAAGAATCTGAGGTATCATTGCCTATTTAAATGAAGAAAACATTACTATGCACTTGACATCTATATGATTCTTACAATCTATAAGATGTCTTCCCATATATTGATTATCTCATCTGATTTAAGTGGAATACAATTACTATCATTCCACTTTATTTGGTCAGTGGTTATACCTGGAGAAAATAGCAAAAGTCTGAAAGCCAGGCCAGTGTTCTCCCCTTTACACAGCCTCTTCAATAAGAGGCTATAGTATTCAAACTAAACTCTGCTGAGCCACACTTTATCTACCTACTAGGGGCTAAGAAACAAGGGTTCCTAAAACACAACCCCTGATCTCAAAAAGATCCGTCTCCTGATAAATTTTTCTTCCTGCATCTTAAGACCTTAACCAGTGTTTTTCCACTGTTTCTAAAAGCAGCCTAAGACAATGTACAAGGTAACATACAGATAACGTACACACGAGCAGAATTATTAACAGAAATATGGAACTCTGGATCCAAAATATGTACTCTCCCTAGTAGACTAGTTTTCCTTCTGAAAAGGGAGGGAGGGGAGGAGGAAGATAAGAAATTCCAACATCTCAGGATTGAAAGTTAATTTGAAGAAATAACTTTCTGCTCTAGATAAAACAGTGAAAGCAGCCACCATCTAACAATGAACAGGTTCAGAGTACTTTGCTAAATTTTTTTCAAGAAACCAAGAATTAATTATACATTAATAATATGGGTTTCAATTTCCTGAATTTATCACTCCCTGTCTTTTACATGGAAAGTTTTTGGTAATAAGTAAATGGAAAGAGCACACTGGGGTTTTTTTCCTAGTTATATCAATAAAATGATTCAGAGTTTATATAGCTGAAAGTCTTATAAAAAAATAAACTTAGAGCATAAATTTAAAAAGCACAACAATTCCTAATTCAAAGCCAATCAAGATATTGAATGTAAATCTAAAAGTAAAATGTCATGCATAAAATAAAAACCATTTAAACATATTTCAGTTAAAAGTTAGGCTAAATTATTCAAATAACTACCACTGAGTTCAATCTATAATAGCCTAGCACAAAATGCTCTTTTCCTAATCTTAGCATCTTATTGATAACAATGTATCCTACATGATTTTAATTTAAAACAAAGAAAAAAAATTTTACAATTTCAACCATTTTCTCAAATTTCAGAGATTTTAAAGAAACAAATTATTAAAAGCAGTTTTCTAAACGCCAAAAGCAGACAGACAAAATACACTCTGCAAATTAGAAAAATAATATCAAAATATACTTCCCCATAAAATAAGCACATTTTTAGAGGCCCAGCACATTCATTCACTCCAAGAACAAAGAATTAGTAAAGAATGAACAAAAGAGGAAAAGATTCCTCCCCATCCATGCAGAGTGCATTTCCCACCTCTTTCTCCCTGTGATCCCCACCGTGTGAATTTTGATCCAAACTGAGTCCTAGCTAAGGATATACAACAGAAAAAAATTCTACTCGTCAGAGAAATCACAAAAACAAATCCTTTTCACGTCTAGACAGAACTATACACATGAGTGGATCTGACCAAAGGGGCATTTATTTCAATTTAAGGAAAACAATTCTTTACATCTACCGCACACAATTGACACACTCCCCCATGGCCTGATGCAGGAACAGTTTTTACCTGTTCTGTAGAGTATTGGAATGTGATCAGTAGAGAGTTTATGCTCACTTCGAACACCAATCAACAGAGGGCTGCCTCGTCTGTTAGTATAAAATTAAACAGAATTAAACCATTTTTATAAATAATGCACTAATGATATAAAACTTAAATTTGATGAAGGAACACTCTTCAACTAATGTTTAAATATCCCTCCAAGCTCAACTTCAGATATAACAAAAGAATGACATAAACAGAATTTTTAAACAATATTCCGTAACAGAGGTCAGCAAACGATGACCTAGAGGCCAGGTTTGTCTGTTTTCCTGGAACTCAGCCACGCCCATTCTTTTACGTGCTTCCTTACGGCTGCTTTCACACTACACCAGCAAAACTGAGAAGCTGTCACAAGGGCCACACGGCCCAGAAAGCCTAAGATATTTACTATCTGGCCCATTACAGAAAAGTTTGCCAACTCCTGTTCTATAACAATGCATTTGAAATTTCTCTCCTTTTAAATGGCATCTTTCTTTCAATATATGAACAATATATGAACATTTATCACCTTCTCTTTAGTAACTTTGCCTTCATATTAAAAATAGCTCTCTCTTACCAAATCTTAGGGCTTCTCACTACTCTAAAAAGGACTTCATGATTAGGCTTAAATATCCTAGCAAAAGTAGTGATGGTACAATTATCTAGGACTCTGTCTAGAATACATAATTCCAAAAAATATGGATGAAGTGGAATGCTTTGAGCCTGAAATTAGGGAATATTCATTATCCAAATTCATAAAGTAACAATGGTGCCCCACTATAGACAAAAGGCCAAGTATAAATGCCAAAATGTATAAGCTTTATTAAGAGATTCTGTTAAATGGAAGAGTGGTAAAACAACAGACAATAAGGAGCATATGAAAATAAATATACTCACACGAATATCTCTAAGAAAGGGCAGAGGAGCCTTTACAGTGAAGGGTCATTTACAGTGTACAGTGAATAAACTTATAATTCAAAAGTTTCAAAATACATATAATTATTAGTCATTATTAAATTTATATAAATATATACCTTGTACCAACTGCTTGGCCAGGAAAATGAACACTTTTAAAGACAAGTGCAAAAGCACCTTCCTATGGAGAAAAAAACTCATTAGCAATATATATTATAATCAATTATCAAATGTGAAATGTCTAAAACATACTGGCTTCAGCACAGAAATTTTCTGTTCACACAACTGCTCTTTTGCACTAGTTTATAAACAAGTCTAAATTTTAGGTAGACAATCCTGAGCTTTGGGGTATCCAAGACCTACTTTTTAACCAAGCCCACTCTTAAAATAGGCTCAATAGATAACAGCTCCAAAACAGACCATTTTAAAAGTCACCTTTGGACACGCTACCAACATTCCTCAATAGACACATCATATTTCCCATACTATGCATTAGTAAGGGAAGGACAGAATTAGAAAAGATGCCAAGCTCAATATCCAAAACTGGCCCAGTAATTTTACAACACTGTTAACTTCCATTCTTTTTGACCTTGATATTGGAGATATGAATACATACACAATCACAATTATTAACAGGCACACCATACCACCCCCTCAACCCAACCTCCTCAGGGACAGGACCTAAGGAAATCAAGAATGAATGAAGATGGAACAGGAGGTAGGAGAGGGAAGGAATCACCATAGAACACAAACTGGGTTATACAATAAGTAGAAACAGGAAAAGGCTGGGAAGGCACACTACTCTGCCTTGAGTATAAGGAAGGAACAGGCCTCTATTTTCTCCATCTTCCTGACTCCTCCTTTTGCTGCGGATGGCATAAGATTTGCTTGGAAGTGGGAGGTGAGGGTTGGACCTTCACAGGGAAGTAGAGGGCTTTTAAACAAGAAAGCTCGAGTTATGAGTAGGGAAAGGGGATGGAAATCACCATGCATTTGGACTTTTGTGGATCTTTGATATCTTTAGTCTTTAATTAGGGCAATTGGGATGCGATCAAAAAGAATACCACTTTTCTCTTGAGCTGGGAAATACTTTTCTACAGAGGTACAAGGCCAAGGAAAAGTCCCCATAATGAAAAATAAGGAGTTGACTATATTGGCCCAGAGACATACAGACATTATCCTAGAATAAAGAGTGTGCATTTCACTGAAGCTACCCTTATGCTATGTATGACTGGGAAGAACACTTGAGTGAGCAGGAAGCAAGAAAGTGATGAATCCCCGACTCTGTGTATTGTGTACAGGTTTGTGTGTGATAAGTACAGGTTTGTGTGTGTGTGTGTGCATAGTTTTTGGACAAACTGTTTGATTTTGGATTATTTTTAAATCCCATGACACTAAACTATAGTGAAAGAAGTAGAATTTTAAGTGTGCGTGGGAAGGAAGGGGTCAATTAGCCAAACAACAGTCTCTGAAAATGATTCAAGTTGAATAGTTATATATACTATAAATAAAAGCCAGAAGTACTTAAGAAATTAGCATAGGCCTTATCAAACTTAATTTAAAGAGATTATGGTGATTAATGTTGGCAATAATTATCTTTAAAAGTGTGGTTTAATACCAATTGTTGGATAACTCTCTCCACCAAGGTAGTAAAACTGGTATCTTGACTTTCCCGATTGTCATACATGTACTTAACAAGCTTGGCAATTGTCTCTGTGTCTGTTTCAGATTCAAAGTCATAGCCTTTGCTTTCCTGTAATTAGAAAGAAAAAAAAATTGACACATTTAAGGACATATTTATAATATCCAAATCTTTTCTACAGAATTTTTTCCTCGAAAATCTCACTAACCAACTTCTAATCTTTTTTTCACCACTACAGCCCATTACCCACTGTTCAAAACTAAGGTCACCATCTAATTATAGTGAACCCAAAATACTGAGGTATTCTGTGTAATTGAACATGCACTTATAATTATATAAATCTATACATGCCACATGTGAATAAATTTTAAATAATTAAAATATAAAGAAATATTAATTCCATAATGAATATAACAATTCTCTCTTTAATGATGATATTGCACTGTCCAATACAATAGCCATTAGCTATATGTGGCTATTTAAATTTAAATTGATTAAAGTGACATAAAATTTCAAATTTAGTTCCTCGGTCATACTAGCTCAACAGCCACATGTGGATAGTGGCTATTATATTGGACAGCACAGATAGAGCAGGTTTCCATCACTGCAGAAAGTTCAACTGGACAGCCCTGAGAAGGCACTCATGAAGGTAATCATCACAACCATTACTATATAGCTATTTAGGGAATACAACCTTCACTTAATCTGCCCTGATTCTTCTTATAGATTCTAGAATCTTTTAAAAATGACAAACAAGGACTTTCACAATTAAAAAACATTCCCCCAAAATTCCAAATTTTATTTGAGCTTTTGGATCACTTATAATAAAGCCAAATAATTATTTCCTTTTCATATAGGAAACAAAAATGTTCCACTATCAACAAAGTAAAGTCCAATAAACCACATACCCTTGTAACCGTCTTAGGAATTACCTGATCATACCCAGGTAGTATTTATTGCACACCCCAACAAACAACCTCACTGCTCTCGTTAGAAGTATTCTCAATTTTTTTTTTTTTTTTTTGGTGAGGAAGATTGGCCCTGAGCTAACATCCATTGCCAATCTTCCTCTTTTTGTTGAGGAAGATTAGCCCTGAGCTAACATCCGTGCCCATCTTCCTCTATTTTTTGTATATGGGACACCGCCACAGCGTGGCTTGATGAGTGGTGCGTAGGTCCGTGCCTGAGACCCGAACCCACAAACCCCGGGCTGCTTAAGCAAAGCATGCAAACTTAACCACTATGCTACCGGGCCGGCCCCAAGACTAGTGTCTTTTTACTTACCAAAAACTTTTTCAAGTCTTTGTAGTTGGTGATGATTCCATTGTGAATAACAATAAATTCTAAAAGAGATAAAAGTATTGACGACAAAAAATTATAGGTCTAGTAAACACTTTAAATGGCCATTACTGTTAGCAGATTTTTCTCAAGCCAAAAAATTTGTCATATGTTATATTTCCAGGTGTAATCAAGTATTATCTACTTTTCATTACCAAATTATCCTCAGGTAGATCAGCAGCATAGGCAATGTGGCTTAATGGAAGCATAAAATGCTACGGAGGTGGATATAGTGGGGAACTACGATAAACTGGGGTCAATTTCAATTCTGGCTAAACTACTAACCCAATGTCACCACGTGAAAGAGCAAGTTTACGGGGCCTGTTTCCTTATTTGCAAAATGAGAGGGCTGAACTAAATACTATTATTCTCACTTCTTTGTTCATTCATTCTTATGCATAAAACATTCCTAAATTTAAAAAGAAAATCTTTCAAACTAAAACAATTATGTGATTTACACTAAATGAGTTTAAGAACTAAAGTTAAAGAAGTTAATAAGAAAAACCAGACGGTTATTCAGTTCTATAGTTAAATTTATTTATCTGAGGTCCAGACAATTACTAAAATGTCAGATAAATGAATGTTAAAATAACATTCCAAGATCAAATACATATGATAGTGGGATAAATTTCATCTTTTTTAATTAAATAACTTTGAAAAATGTAAGACTGGATAATCAAGAGTTGACAATACTATTTTAGCCACCAACAGTGTATGTAAAGACTATTAATGTAGATTTATTATTTAAATTTCATGTAAGTCAGGAAAGAAATTACCACTAAATTCAATTTTATATTAAATTATCAAAAATGTTTTTAATATATTTAAAGGTCTGACATTTTGGTCTGACATTAAATGAGCCTGAATTGAATGCACTACAAACCAAATAAAAAAATAAACATTTTCATTAGATTTTTAAGAAAGAAAAGATATCACAAAATAATACTACAAAAATAAATCTAAAAAAAAATGTTTAATGTGAGAACACAGAGAATCATAAATAGCTGATAGCTGATATAAAGTCTTAAATTAAAGCCAAATTCTCAAAATGTAATCTAGATATAATTTTTCAGGAATCTTTTATAAAGGCCTTGTGAGTATTAAAAGTTTGGGTGGTTGTTAGCATTCTAATCTGATTCAACAATAATGTGAAGCACAATAAATCTAAAAAGGTAGCTTCTGAATTAAATTATAAAATCTGATCTCAAAAGGAATATATATATACACACATACATATATACATACATATGTATTTGCTTGTTTTTAAAAATGGAAAAGACTCTAAAAAAATCTGTTAAATAGTTATCTGCAGAAAGAGAATAAGGAAGAGGAAATAAGATACAAACTGGACTTATTGTAATACGCTTTTTTTAGAGGTGTGACCTCAGACCTATGCAAATATTTTAAACAGTTAAATAAAATTAATGTTTAAAGAAAATCAATCCCTAAAACTCAAGATAAAATAAAACATTAACATAATGCTGTATCCAGCTGGTAGCACAACCACACAGAAAAGGATTATTCCAAGAGACTCTAAAACACAGTAATTTGATTATACATCCCTAGAGAGATATACCTTAAGGACAAAAAAAAAAATTAACAAAAAATAGTAAACATCCTTGTTATGGTAGTGTTGGTATTACAATTCTGTTTTATATATATCATGTGATAAATTAAATAAGTATGCTGCTGGTGTTAAGAATTTAAGTTTTTAGGTGTGATTAAAAGTAAATACATAGATCAATGAGGTTAAGTAAAAACCTTACAGCCTTGGATTTGAATTGGAAGTGTTAGTGTGAAATTATGCTGTGTTTTATCTTTAAATGTACACGTGTGTGGATTCGAAGAGTGACGTCAGCATCATGGCGGAGTGAGCTTTCCCGTGAACTCTTCCCCCGACAAGATATACAACAAAAGCAACAGTCACAGACCAACAACGGAATCCCAGACAGTGAAAACCTAGAGCGGAGGGATCCAC